TCGGGTAGGTTGATGTGAATTGCAATTATTTATAATTTTGTACAGAATGCAGTTTTTAAAAACCCCAAGTCTTAGTCTGTTTGTATCAGGAAGTGAGTCAGTTTTGGTCTGTTTTGATTACTTGGCAAGCTCATATCCCCTTGCTGTTACGTACATTTTAGTCTGCATGTCCATCACTGGAAGTTGAATATGATTATGTTTGGCCCAGTAGGTTCATGTCTTTTAGAACTATAACATTACTTCACTTGAGCAGTTATTAGGGCTGCAGAGATGTAACTACAATTGCTAAATGGGATAATGCAAAATGAATGAAGTGAGAGATCCCCTGGAGGCTTCTTGATGTTTACTCTTTCAAGTAATGCACTCTACTGAGTCTGTCAGCTCATCACAACAGAGAATTATTTAGGGAACCGTGTGAACAGTATTGCTTCACAAATCTTACAGCCACCCAGAATATAAAGTGTGTATTATACAATGCAACTCATAAATAGACATTTCCCTCTTTCCTGCAAACCACTCTCACTACAATGGCTTGTCTCATCACAGCGGAGCAAATGCGAAAGCAAAGACGTAAAGTAGCAGCACACTGTTGTGCTTTATATGCTATTTGCAAACTATTTACTGGTATAAAGAAAGCTAAATTGCTATTTATCTCATTATCACTTACATTCTTCTGAGGGTAGACTCAGATGGTGACATTTCATTCTCTACATAATATCTTTTAATAGGTCAGCCACAGTAATGCCATTGCTTAATGTTTCTACATGTTTTAACTCTGAATATTTTTATGCAAAAATAATTACCTCACAGCCATATAGGTGTGAGACATATGTTACAACTTAAAGATGTGCAATCCTCATGAAACCATTAAGATCATTTGCAAGAAGAACTGGAACTGTTCTTTTGTGGAATTTTTACACATATGCTTAAAAGACACCCATACAGAACTATCTGTTGCTAATGAAATAGAAATATATTTTTGAAAAGAAGAGAATAGATATTTGAAGTGAAATATACATGATTTAATAGCAATAGAATAATCTTTTTTTCTATTAAAAGGGCTAATAGTCCCTCCAAAGTAAAGGAAGATCAAGGCACATTTTCTAGAACTCTTCTAACCACTCCAAGGCCAGGTGGAACCAGAAATAGCCATCATCTCCTCTCCTGAAGAGGGAACAACTTTTGATGTTCAGTAAGAGGAGAAGGCAAGAGGGAGTCATGGAGCAGTCTGTGACCTTCCAGGGGTGATGAGAGAAGTCTGACAGAAGAGCTATACATGTGCCATGGCAATGTAAAGCAAGCCAATAACATTTACCAGGATTCTCAGCAGCAGCTGCGCCCTGGTCTCTGGACTATCAGGAAGCAGAACTTTTGATCCCAGAATTCTGTAATCCCCAAATGGGTCAGGTTGGAAGGATCCACAGTGGGTCATCTTCCTGCTCAAGAAGATTAAAGACAAACATTCCTAAGTATTGTCTTCTCCCAGCCACAGCTATCAACACCGAACTTTTAAATGTAGAATTTGGGCAACAAAATGTGTTTCTATCAATGGCCTTCACACCATCTCAGATTTTATATGTTAAAGCCTACCCACGGTGAATAGAAAGAGAGAAGAAAAGGTGACTTTTGTAACTGTGGTTTAAGGAGATAGAGGTCATAAAATCCTCTTATTTTAAAAAATTGGAATAAAACATTGGAATAGACTGCCTAGAAAGGTTATATAGTCTCCATCCTTGGAGATTTTCAATACTTACTTGGACTATGTCTTGAGCAACTCCAACTTCATGTCAGCCCTGCTATAAGGAGATGAGCCTGGTTGATTTTATGGGATCCTCTCTCACATAAATGGTTCTGTGGTCCTATGATTTTTGGGGTCAGACAGGCTGCCTGTAAGCCTAAATTTTACATTTGGCACCAATTACAGAGGAAAATAACTTAGTCTTGTCAATGTGTTTTACAGGGGAGGAAGGAGAGAGTGAGGTTATAGCTTTCTTGCTGGAGAATGGCAGAAAAGGCAGAGTTCCTGTCTGCTGAAGTCCTGCAATGAAAGTTTTACCATTGAAAATAAATTCATAGATTCCAGAATTATTTCAGGTTCACAGGAATGAACTTGATGTAGAGCACAGTGTCAGCAATGCTATTGCTTCCATTTTCTCCTGAACCATGGCACAGAAGAGACAAAATATGGCATAATTAGCTTCTGTCTCTTCTCTGAAGACTCTAACATGCTCATTTTGAAACAATTGGAATCAGAGACTTTGATGTCAGTGTCACAGTGACAAAATCTACAGATTACTATTTCCTTACTTTTGTTTGACTCCTGTTACTGTAATTCTTTCCTTTCACTTATATCTTATTCTACTGATGTGTCTGAGAACAAACTGTTAATGTACTTACATGCTCTGGGTGACAAAGCTCCATTGTGAAGCAGTCGGTTTGGTAGTCTATGTTTAGCATTCCCGTGGTTATTTATTATTTATTCCCATCTCATCATCCTATTACAGGCAATAAATATATAAAATTGCAGAGCCTGATGTGTTCCTTGCCCGTCCCCAAAGTCAATACAGTCAAAATCATATCCAGGTGAATGATGAAATATTAAAATAAATATGCAACAAGCATCCATAGGAAATGCTACTTCAGTCTTCAATCCTGTGTTCAGACAGGGAAGGCATTCCCTGATGAAAAAGCTTCTTAGCGTCAGACTTTGTTGCTGTTGGCATGTTTTGGGGGAATTAAGATGTTTAATTCAAATGTGCAGAAGAAACCATAATCTAAGCACTTCTTTTTTCCTACCTCTACAGGAAAACCAGTTAACTCCAATTACAAGCTTGCTTTCCCAGATAGACAAATTTCCCAGATTTCCAAGATTTCTCAGAAGCTTCTTTCACATATGGCATTATTCTGCACTCCCCTTTTATTCCCTTCCACTGACAAAAAGGACTCTTGTCTTCATTTCTTCTCTCTTCTCATATTTTACTTTTCCAGGTCTATTATACATTTCCTAATGCTTGTTTATCTAGGTGACTTATAAGAACTTCCTTAAATAAGTTTAGTTTTTTCATGTCTTGATATTTAATATATTAGTCTCACAATGACTCTGTAAAGTGAAAAATTACTATAATTCCCAAGTAGAAAAACTTGAGCACCAATCCTACAAAATAACAGAGCTGCCTGGGGTAGGGGTTGGATATATAAATCAATGAGAGGATTTTAACACCTCTTCTTCCACAGAAGACCTCAGTCACCAAACAATAGTTGGTTCCAAAGTATCTGAGTGAAGAAGGGAGATATAATCCAAACCTCCTCTGGAAGCTGTGCAGCTATTTAGAAAATGATGTCACTGGATCACGGAAAGCACAACTGAGTCCTCTACACTTAAGCATAGCTTAAGGAGCTCAGGTCTTTCAGTTCAGTGCAGATTCCTCTCATGAGATCAGAGAAATCCATTACCTGCAGCATTTTTAATACATGGGATACTGGTTTCTCTACCTGTGTGTTTCCTGTGGCTCCTTTCAGCTTCCTCTTCCTGTTCCCTAATGTGATGGTACTATCTTATCCTTTGTCACTCTTCTATCTTCCGATGTCTGGAGACCCAAGCAACTCTGTTAGATTACCAATAAATAATAATAGAATCTACAGACTCGATCTGCTCTTGTCCTTAAGGCATTGTCCCCCAACCTTCCAGTTTCTTACTATGTGATTTCAAGGAAAAGCATTTTCCTCTGACAAAAAGCCCCAACCAACCAACAAACCAACCAATCCCCACAATCAAAAAACCAAAAAACCCCAAACCAAACCTGAGCTATGGAATGAGTGAAATTGTTATATTCCTAATGAAGTCTCCATTTAACTTTGACATAAACCCAAAATTTGGATAACCTAGAATATTAGAAGCTTTAAAAAAGGATTCCATGCTGTTGCTTGAAAATTTAGAAGGTTCCTTCTCTAAGTACACTATGCCACCACAGAGCAGAGAACATAAATGACAATCCACTGCTTTCCAGATTGCATAACAATTGTTTTTATTTTCTGATAAAAAACACTCAGAGATTGCAAGGAGAGATTCAAAACTATAATATATGACATCTAGTCAAATGTTTCACCTATTTAAAAAACAGGGAAATCTAAGCAAGCAAAACCATCAAAACATCTCTGGCACCACCTACAGAAGTAATTCAGTATTAAAGATTTTCTGTTGAAAGAAGAAAAATTTAAATAAAGACAGAATACTGAAGAGGAGTACTCCCCTCCCCCAGTAAATAAATAAATAAATAAACAAAGAATTCCGGGAGTTAGAAATATATGGATGCTCAGCCCCCTACTGATGAAGTGCTGCTTATTAGTAGCTGCTATGCTTTCCATGCAGCACATTCAAACTCCAAAGTGTGCTTACAAGCTTGTGAATGTTCTCCAGGAAATGATTAAGTGACAAGATACAATCTGTAATGTGGGGAAATCAGTTTTTACTATGAAGAATTTACTTTCTAGTACTGGAAGTCTACATATATAGCTTAATCACATTTTCACAGCTGGATTTTTGAATAGAGCCTCATTAAACTGGTATAAATATACACCATATTGTTGTGTATGTTTTGGTTTTTTCATCAGCATCAAGATAACTTTGGTACAGAAGAATGCTGTTTCATTATACCCACTCCAGCTGTGCTCTTCTTCCAAAGTCCTAGCACTTGCCAAATATAAAACTTAGCACTTGCTCACAGCAGTAAGTTGGTAAAGTTTGATTGAATGAAAGATAATATGAGAACAGAATAGGTAAGAGAAAAGATAAAATGAACTTTAGAATGAAGAGAAAATTTTGGTCACAAGTATTTTTTCTCTTCGCTATGCACTAAGGGTGCTGTCCTTATTACCACAGAAACAAAACAGACACTACTGAGTCCCCATAACAATGAAAGGAAAAAATGTTTTGACCAAAATGACAGACTACAGCAGAAAATGCTACACAACATCATTATGGTTATGTAAAGAGGCACAGAAAGAGCAGGTTATACAAATGATATTGTGCTCAGAGCCCTGTGAGGAAAGTGTTTCACAGTAACAGTGATCTGAGAAGCTCAGTAAGATCTTGTGCTTTAAGTATGGGTATAAACTTCAGTGAAAAAAAATCAAATAAGGAGCTCAGTAATGTTAAAGGCAAAATACCTCTTTAATTTCACCAGGATCAGATTTCCTTTGTGGATTCCTTTGAGGTAAATCAGGTATTTTTATGTCTTCCAGACACAGGGCTGTGGCACAGCCATGAACGAGGAAGTCAGAGGAGACCCGTAGGGGTTTGCAGTCCCAAGGACCCAACTGCTGGGCTGGAGGCCCTGGAGGCAGCCAGGACACTGCTGGCAGACCAATACCTGCCTGGAAGGTCTGGTTTACCCTTTGAGCTGTTTATGCTTAGCTGTACCAAGTGTTCAGCATCTCTGTGTCAGGCTGGGCACCTCACTGGGCACTTAAAGAAAAGAAGCAAAGTTTGAATACACCTGTGGAGTATCTTAGCCAAAATCTCTGGTTTTCAAGATGTTTTATGTTTTGTCAGTTAGCATTTTTATCCCTGAAGTTACTGTGTAGTCTCCAGGTAGATATAAGATTCAAAAGACTTGCTGTATATATTCATATTTACGTTCTTTACAATTTTTATGCGTATATAAAATGTTTATAAGCATTTCTTTATTGAAAGTAACTCCCTGATGAAATAATTTCAGTGGATCGCACTGATGTAACTCAGAGTGAAATTAGACTTGAGATATATTTTTATGTCATTGCATTTCTTCACAGATTTTTCTTTTTTACCTACAACAAATCGTGTATAACCATTACATTTTGAATTGAATGAGCAATTATTAAACTGGAGATTGTTGTGATCTCATTAAAATAAGCCTATTCTTGTAATAAAAGCAATGATTCACTGTTCTCAAGTGAGTTTAGATCACTGACGTTAAATGCTAATCCTTCCACCAAACCAGAGCTAGAATGATTTTCTTTGTGAGCTGCAATATCAAATTCCAGTAAACAAAACATTTAAGCATTGTAGGAATCTCACAAATATCAGTAACTAGTGAGACCAAGTCCTGTATTGCCATGGAGGGCATTGGAGGGTAAATAATCCCATCCAGAGTGGGGGGAAGTAAAGGAGAGCTTCAGCTGATGGACTGCAGAGTGCTATCCAGCAAGCATCCAGTTTCATGCCATGGAAAAAAGGGTGGGAAATGAAGGCCATGACAGCCTCATTTGTCAGTGGGTTCTTCCAGGTGCAGCGTGTCATATTTTAACCAAAAGAAACATGCTTTTTTTTGTGGGTGAACAGTTGAGTACCAGTGACATTATCTCCTACTGCCCAAAAAAAACCCAAAACAAAAACAAAACCCCCAAACAAATCTGTTGAATGACTGTAACGGAAAAATAAAAAAGAAAGAAAAACCTCTCATCGATTTTCAGTTTATTTGCTTTGTACATTTCATAGCACTTTTGATGTAATTTTCATTGCATTCTCTAAATTAGTATGTTTTCTCTCTTCTTTAAGGAGAATGTCAATCAGGCTCTAATCTATTTTATTATATCTATAGCAATGATTGTTAATTATTCATGGTTTATCTAATGTATGTAAGGTCAAAACAAAATGTTGCTGGTGAAACTGCAATTTCTTTCATAACAAGAAGTTTTTATAGAGGATAAGTAAGTTTTGCATGCTGAAGGTGGGTTTCATTTAATTAATTTGACATGCCAATTAATATGTGGCACATATTAATTACAAATTAATTACAGGCAACAATTACTATTATTGCAACAATTTAATAATGCTTTCCCTTGACTGAGAAGATTAAATTGATCACTTAGCAGTTAAGAGGTCTGCCAGTTACAACTCAGCTTCCTGCCATCCATGGATTAGGTGTTTTTTGGGATGCTACAGAAAATGATTTTCACACATTTTGGTCTGAATTCATGGATTTGCTGTAAATGTCACTAGTGAGAGGGAAATGTTCTTATACTCTTGACTGAGCAGTTTTTTGGCAGACTTCTTAAAACCCTATATACTCTCAGTGACAGAGTGTTGATTTTTCTTCTATGAGACAGGGTCGTGAAGGAGAATTGTTTTTCCCTTTTTTATTGTTTGGAAGCAAGTGTATCCAACACTGTTCTTGTCATATTGGCAATGAGTATTAAATTTTTGTTTTTGGAAGCAGATGCACTTGAGAAACTTTTTACTGATTTTTTAGGGAGGTTACATTATGTTTTCTTCTTTTTTTGGTGCCCCCTCTGGAGTACTTTTAGTGAATATGGTCCTCTAACAAAACATTACAATTATATCACAAATTCAATCAATGGACTTGAAGAGTAAGCAATGAGAAATTTGTATGATGTCACAATCTATGACTATGGTGACTCATGCCCCAACAAAGAAGATGAATGATTTTAGGGATAATATCCAAGTGGAGTATTCCAGGCACTGACTCATTGCTTGATTGGATATGGCACACAACAGCACCAGTGGGCAGAGAGGGAGCCTTCAAGGATGGGTTACGAGGCTCCTCTTATCACAGACCTTCAGAAAACTCTAGAAGATCCATTCTTATAGTTCCCTCTGTCATCTGTACCTCGTTTCTCACTGCGCTGATACCTTCTAGATCTTCCGAAATACATTTACAATAGGTAGATGTGCCAATACCACTCTTAGGCACACAAGTTTAAGCTAGTTTTTAGTTGTGGCCATCATTAGAAAGAGTTATGGGTTTCAGAAATTACTTCTGGATTACACACTTCTCTGAAACTTAAACCCACACATATGCATGTATGTAAAACGATATAAATATATTACAATGCATTTCTGACTTCAAAAAAATGAAGCAAATTATTAACTTTTTAAACTGGGAGCCTTAAAGGGATATTTTCATCCTTCTTCTTGAAGTTTAAAAATTATACTGCTTTGTGTTGAGTAGATGGTACATGTTAACTTACACAATCTCAAATAGCATATTGCTAATAAAAATAGAATAATCAAAGTACTCACAGTCTTTTAGAAGTGAAATGGCATCTCAACATAAATTAGCAGAAAACAGCTGGAAAGAGATTTTATTTAAGAAATTAATGTACTGAAATGTCATTTATAATGACGAAGAGATATTACAGGGCCTCATAAATCATCTGGTTGAAATTGCCATAATAACATCACTTTCTAAGAAGGTAAGATTTTAGGCAATATTTTTTTGCTGAGCCTAACCTAACATGTATTGTAATTAAAGCCTTATCTAACTCCAAGGGAGAAAGCAGCTCACTCACTTTGTCTCTTCAGCAGTCTTCCATAATCTGAAGTGTTCCATGTCGTGGCTCAGACTTCTCTTTCTTCCACTCAGCAAATCCTCCATATCCTTTGTGAAGAGCAGAGCTTCAGACTTGTCCAGCACTTGAAGTGAATTTTGAAGAGGAGTGAAGATTATATGTGATGTAGGCTGTAACTCTCTGCATGTGTTACAGGCTGTCCACCTGTAGCTCTGGAGCGTGATACCACTCTGTTAACATCCATTGTACTGGCCATTATAATCACAAAGTATTTCATTTCCAAAACCAACAGCTTTTCAGTTCTCTATTTTATACTACTGAAGTAGACTGCCTGAGTTCATCTTTCACTTACTTTGTTATGTATCACAGTGTTTTAAAACTATTTTGTTCAGTTTGTCAAGATAATTTTGAATTCTATTAGTCTTTCAATACATGTGCGGTCCTTTCCTTATTGAACATTGTCTGGAATTTTCTAGCCTCTTGTTTGCAATTCTTCTAATTCTTTGATTTATTAATACTGTTTCTTACAACTGTAAAATTAATATGACAAAATGATCCTGCTTCTGTTGAGCCCTAAGCAGCTCATTAAGTCTGAATACAAAGTTGAAGTATTTAAAAAAAGTCAATCTAAAAATATTAACTTATTAATCAACCTAAAATACACTCCTGGACACAGAAAACAACATAGCTTTTCTTTGAGTAATACATAAGTAAAACCAAAATAGCCTAAATGATTGAATTAATAACAGATTTCTAATTTTTTCTAAATTTGCTTCTTATAGTAAAAAAAACAAAAAACAAACAAAAAAAACCCCAAACCCTTTTTTGAAGTCAAAAAATATACTTGCTAGCTGATCCAGAACGTTTATTTGGGAATTTGGTTTGTTAATTATTCTTGGGTTTTCCTATTCAAAAATAAACAGTGAGAAAATGTATAATTTAAATACTTGTTTCAATTAATAATTTTTTCCTATTTTTTAAAATTTGCATTGCTTGACAGTTACTACAATACTTTTAAAAGGAACCTTACAATGAGAGGGTTAAACACAGAAATAAGATCACTAAGAAAGTTGTGAAATCTTTAACCTTAGAGACTTTCAAAACTCAACTAGACAAAATCCAGTACAGATGAATCTAATTTTCGTCTAACCCAGCTTTGAGCAGCAGGTTGAACAATACTACACACAGAATTCCCTTCCAGTCTATATTCTCCTGTAATTCTATGGAAATTTAAGGAAGGACATGCACATTAGGATGGCAAAAAGAAATAATTTTCTTACTTAATGAATGTCAGTATCCATTTTTCCAAAATTTATAAGCTAGTATTTTTGTGCCTGGTGTGCTTGTAAAGCACACAAATAGACCTGTTTATTAGCTGAAGGCAGGATGGGCACGGTTCTTGAACATCTCGTGTAATTGCAAGTCCATGGGCTGGAGATGGAATCCTGGAGTGTGGGCAGGGAGGGGGAAGCCGTGGGGGTGGCAGCAGGGCTGGCTGTGCCTTCCCCTAGACCCTGCACACCTGGGTCTCATGTAGCATAAAAAATGACAATAAAAATGACACCCATCAGAACAGGTCACAAAGCTTCAGCATCGTGATGTGAAGGCACCACCCAGCTGGGCTGTGAGAGCCCTGCCCTCGCTCGCTAAGGCTGGCCAGTGAAACCCACCCCAGCCAGCGGGTGCAGGGCATGGAGCCCAGGGGGATGGAGCCAGCAGCTGCCAGCAATGCCTGCTCTGAGCCATGAACACCTCAATCAGCTGGGCCTGCTGGGTCTGGGACCAAGGCTCTCCTCCAGGCCCTGCTTGTGCACACAGCAAGGAGGATCTTTCTGTTAAGCCTTGCACTGGAAACAGCACATGAGAATAACGTCTACACACAGTTTGGTTCCTGGAAGGGAGTGACATCGGCTGACACAGGTTACCCAAGGTCAGGGGCTACAGGTGCCACTTGGTGGGCTGTCAGAGGTGTTCTGATTGCCAGCACACTCACAATGAAATTTGTCTGTCTTGTCATAGCACTGTGTCCTGGCATGCTGTTGTTTTTTATTGGCTTCTGGAACTGCCATCCCCAGCTCACATGCTGAGAGATGTAGCCACTAAGGCTTTATTCTTCACTAAAGATTTATTCCTCAACTGCTCATCCTACTAAGTCTCTGTGTAGCAGGGTGTGAAAATCTACACCAATGCCTTCATTGGCGCAATTCTGTTGAAATTGCCTTTTTTTATTATAATCTAGGACTCCCCTTTTTTTAATGACTTCACTCACTTGGCTATGTCCAGCAGGGCATTGGCACCATGTTCCTGGAACTACATACTGAATTGCACAATGGATTGTCTCACCCAAAGGAGTGTCCCTGGAGTTTGCCAGAAGCAGTTGAAAATTTTCTGATAAAATTTCCTAATAGAAAGTAATTTAAAATTTTTATCTTCCATCTTCCTTCTGCAACCAACCATTTTGAGAGATGGGCAACAACCTATGGGAAAAACCATAAAAAAATCACTTTTAACAAATACTCTGTGAAGGAGTATGTGTGGAACAACCTGCTCCTAACTTCCAAAATCTCTTCGAAATGTACTTCACAGTGTATCTGAGCTTGAATTTACTGAGTTGAACAGCTTTTCTTTTGCTCAGGGACAGGGCCATGGTTAACAGATGATCAGACAGATTTTCTGAAGCAAAAAAATGCCACAGTTAAAGTTTGTGAGGAAAAAATGAGATCAGCACATAAACTATAAGCTGTAGTTTACAGCTATGTAGACACTCAATAATTCCAGTCCACCAGCTTTTCACATTTTTTTGGAAAGGAAGCGTGGCAGCGTCTCTTGATAGGGGCTGTCTCTCCACATGCATTGCAGCCTGTCTGCTTTTCCAGGCTTGTTAACCAGAAGTGACTAAGGTGTGCTATCCCCTGGACCTCAGCCGAGGTGACACTTCCACAGATTTAGCACCTGCAAGAATGATTTCATCACCCTCTAGTGACTCCAGTTTCTAGAGGAAATGGCTTTGTTAGGCAGAGATTGCAACAGTATTAATGGTTCGTTCCCTTACTGCACTGTTCATGTCTGAAAACGCTTTTTAAAAAAATGCTCATTCCTCCAACACACCACCTCTCTCTCAGGACAGTCCAAGGTGCAAGCAGAATGTGATTGTAACTTGCATGTATTACATGCTCTAATTCTCCACATGAAGAGAGAGATTGCCTGTATTAGGTCCTGGTTGCCCTGTGGTATTGCTGATAATGCTGTGAATTAAATTAGCTCACATTAGCCTAGTTTGCCTCCTGTACAGTTCACATTCTTTCGACTTGGCATGTTTTGCTTTCACTTAGACAATCTGTGTAATTATAAACCTTCAGCTGATTCCTACTGTATTGTGAGAATTGCTGAAATCTCATTGCAGATGCAGATTTTGGAGCTCTGGTAAATGCAGTAAGCAGAAGTCCGGATGTTCAAATCAGCAAGCTATGACATGGCAATTCACCCTCAAAAATAAAATAGAACTGATCAAGAAGAGACACAGATGAATTAAGAAGAAAGCAGAAGCAACAGAGACAGAGCAAGATTTTTTTTCCTTCAGTCTCTTCAGTGAGGTTAGCAGTGAATTTTTTCTTCCTTACAGGATAATTATGAATTTCAGATTCTAGCATCTTTGTACTCCTTTCAGTAAGACTGCTCTGCACAAGAAATAATAGTGTGCTCAGTGCAATAATAGTAGAGTACAAAACGTCAGGAGTATAAGATTTCTATAAAAAAAAAGAGAGTTTGACCATGAAATAGTGAGAAAATTAGAACATCTTATCCCATTCTATCAGAAGCTAGAAGGTGAGATTACACAGGTAGGAAATATTACAAAAGAAATTAGCCTCTGTAAATGAAAACAAGGACATGTTATAATTAGAAAGAGGCATTACCAATAAATTGCAAAAAGTGAGACTTCATTAGAAAAAATAGAAGTGAGGGAAATTTTCACTTTTGCTTTCCAACATTCATATTTTACTCATACTTCGGAGTCCCAGAAGAATCATGGCTATTTTTTAATAAAAAAACCCCAACAACAACAAAAGGAGAGACCAGAAATACAAAAATTGTGATTGTTTTTTCCTGCATCAAAGTTGTTCCCAGATAATTGTGATAGCTGAAGTGTTTTTAGTTGTCAGGTGATTAATTTTAAAATTTCCTAGAAAATTTTGAGACCTTAGAGCCAAGAGGTTGCATGACAAGAAAAAAATACTTTGTAAAGGCTTTCATAGTATTAGAGGGGAAACAGTGTTTAGACTATCTAACAGTGGTAACTTTGGAGCGACTGTCTTGTACAAAGGGCCTGATTTTATTTTACAGTTAAAGCTGATTTTGGCAGAAAGGCAAAATTGTAAATGCTGAATATAAATGAGGTGTTTATGACACCATTTTAATGAAGATTTCTCCATTAAATTAAGCTTAGTATGGCAAAGTAGTTCTCCAATAACTGTGCAAATAAATTAAATTAAATGAAAAACCATTAAACATTGTTAATATTTTCAGTTCTTAAAGAATAAACAGTTAGAAGTCAAGAATTAAAATGCATATTTTAATTATTTATTAAACTTTAACATTTACATACTAAATATAAAAATGTCAAATATAAGAGATATATATTTCATTAAACTAGGATGTTTAAATTTAAAGTTGTAAACAACCTACCACCACTGACTAACCAGAAAAATAATGCAGATGAAGCTTTTTTGCAGCCATGTCTAAAATCTTTATAATATATTTTTTCAGTGATTCTGAATTCATTTAAGTACATAGTGTGGTGTGTTTTCTTGCTCCAAGATAGATTATTGTTAATTCATACTTTCAGGAAAAGAGTAAGTGACCCTTTGCTAATGGTCACCTCAGGTGGTGAGCAGCAGACATCTGCTGACTGAGAAAAGCATCTTCTCACCTCTCTCTCTCCCCCTCAGAGACATCCCTAAACTTTGCATGTGTTGTCTTTCTGCATAAAATTACTAATCTTTCTGAAATGTTTTTAAGGTCAGTGAAAGCAAAGTCACGTACAAGAGCAAAGCGTTAGGACCTAATAAAATTTGTTGCAAATAAAGCACAATCAATTGTACAGAAGTATTATTCAGGCAGCCCACCAGTCATTCTCTCATCTCCCATATGCAAGGATGAACAGCATATTGGCTGTGGTGAGATCCAGCACCCCTTTTCTACTTGCAGTCTTCCAGCACTTGCTGCCCACCAGGAATTCATACACTGTGGGTGTGCAACTTCTCTCCCAGCT